TTACATTTTTGCTCCGTCCATGCAATAAATGCGCAGCCTTCGACTGCTCAGGTAATGTCGTCGGTATGACCGAGAGTATGGGATCATATTCCTGCCAAATGTATTGCAGTGACGGATAAAAAAATAACAAGCGTGAAACCAAAATTTAAAAACGCAAGTAAAATTATATTGCACAAAATTTTAAAATGAAAGCAAAGTTTTCAGAATAACAAACAATGGTCACGGATAAAAAAATAAGTGTAAATCAAAAATTTTATAAAGCATTAAAAAAAATAATAAGCACGAATTAAAACTTTAAACACATTTAAAATCATATTCCACAAAACCGAAATATTAATGCAAAATTATCCGAATTGCAAAGTTTTCAGAATAGCAAACAATGGTCACAGATCAAAAAATAATACGTGTAAATAAAAAATTTAATAACGCATTTGAAAAAATAATAAGCACGAATCAAAACTTTAAACACATTTAAAATCATATTGCACAACACTGAAATATTAATTCAAAATTATCCGAATTGCACACAAAATCATGTTGTCCTTGGTTATATTTCTGTTTTTTGTGCTCTCAGACATTTTCTGCACATATTTTTATTTTTTGTATGCTTATGCTGTCAACGCTCCTCATTACTGCCGATGCTCAGTGTTCTGTTCACTTGTACAGCTGAAAATGGACAACTGTCGGCTGGGAAACATATTTCAATACAGGACACCGTTATATGTGTCTGTCTGTCACTGTTGTACGCCTACCTGGCGATCCGTTAACGTTAAATGAGTAAATCGGTAAATTAATTTTGAATTAATGTAATGTTTTTGCATTGAAAACGATAGTGCTACAGAGTAGACAGTTACAGAGGCCAGGTGGATTTGATATACACAATGATTTATTGTGTTGTTTATTTGCATATCTACATATATAATTGCCTAACACTATCATATTAATGTTTCAAATACATAAAGTTATACATAACAACAATATGAAAGTAAAACAGCCAGTAGGTGGTGGTAAGGTACTGTGTTTAGAATAAAACATTAAATCATTCATTCAAATGGCTGATTCATTCAGTGAGGAATAAAGCGAATCATTCAATAGAAAGACTGCTGTGTTGCTTGTAGAGGACACTGTTCTGCTGTGGCTTTGTTTGGACTCTTTGTCGAAATAGAGCAAAATTAGAAAATAGTTACTATTAATAGTAAACTCACTCAAAATATACTTGTTATATTGATTCAGTTCAATAAACATTTGCAATGGTCCTGATATTAGGAAAAACACTCTTCCTCGTGTTTTGCTTAACTGTATGTCATAAAATAAATTATAGTGCCATTCTTTACAAACAACATTTATTTTAAATGCTAAGCCTATAACTCATTTAAAACGAAACTAAAAACTGAACCTCCTGCTGGGCTCACATACCTCTCATTTCCATGAGTGAATCCTTAGACGCGGTGTAACATTTGGTTGATAAACGATTAGACTATTTATTTTGTAAAGAAGGCTTTGTACTTCTCTCGTATCTGAATATTTACTGAAACATCCTTCACATATGCAATAAATTTGTTTGGAAAACACCACGGCATGGCGATGCTCGCGCTGACTAGTAAAACCTGCATATTGTACAAAACACAAGCTAAATTGAGTCACCAATACCTTTTGTATGTTTAGTTGTCTCATTTACTTTGATGATGAAGAGGCTGCGATGTAAAGTTTGCAATGCTAGAACTGATTATGTTGTGTGCGCGCGGGAGGTGCCGGCGCGAACGGGTTACTCACATCAGCGGAAAGATGTGATATCCGTCAGATAGGAGCAAGACATTCAAAACTATCTATGTTTTATCTGTGTACCTTCAAAATAACAGTGAAACGTTGTACTTTTGTAAAATAAAGAAAACATACAAAATGCAGTTGCCGTCTCTGTGAACCTCTATAAATCATAGCACGTTCAGAAGATAAAAAATGCAACGTGTAGCATTTTTCGGTGTCCGGAAAATACCGAATAGCAAAATGTTTTGCGGGACCCCCTGGCTTTGGGTCACGACATGGACCCCAGTTTGAAAACCCCTGCTCTTACTCATATTATCCTCTCCTAACAGTAATAACCATAACAAGACTTATAATCAGTCAGGTAAAGGCAAGCCAGGCACATCAGTCACTTCACGAGGCCGGTGCATTTAGTGGCTGCTCCCTTTCGCGATGTGACCGGAGGCGAATAAATACAGGTGAATATAACCACGACAGGTCGCTAGGACGGCTCATTTAACGTTAACGGATTGCCAGGTAGGCGTACAGCAGTGACAGACAGACACATATAACGGTGTCCTGTATGGAAAGATGTTTCCCAGCCGACAGTTGTCCATTTTCACCTGTACAAGTGAACAGAACACTGAACATCGGCAGTAATGAGGAGCGTTGGAGTGACGTCACCGCCCCTCCTGGACTGAATTTAACGTTAACGGATGCCAGGTAGGCGTACAGCAGTGACAGACAGACACATATAATGGTGTTCTGTATGGAAAGATGTTTCCCAGCCGACAGTTGTCCATTTTCACCTTGCAGAAAATGTCTGAGAGCACAAAAAACAGACAAATATAACCAAGGAAAACGATTTTGTGTGCAATTCGGATAATTTTGCACTAATATTTCAGTTTTGTGCAATATGATTTTAAATGTGTTTAAAGTTTTGATTTGTGCTTATTTTTTTAAATGCATTATTACATTTTTGATTTACACGTATTATTTTTTGGTCCGTGACCATTGTTTGCTAATCTGAAAACTTTGCTTTCATTTTTAAATTTTGTGCAATATAATTTTACTTGCGTTTTTAAATGTTGGTTTCACGCTTGTTAATTTTTTAAATCCGTGACTGCAATACATTTGGCGGGAAAATGATCCCATACGAGAGCCACTGAAAAACTACAGAAAAGTAAAACTACTTCACTTTAGCATTACTGGCCACGAGTAGCCTACTAAGGAGAGATCACACATCAGCTGCTCAAAAAAAGTGTCAGTGAGCGAAGTGCGAGTGTAATCCTGTGACAGTCACTGCAGGCGGTAAATAGTGCAGCGCGTGAAGAGTCAGGAGAGATGCGAGGCACGAACACTGTTCAAGGTCTCCATTAATTCGTGCTTATAGTAATTTAATGTGTATATATTTCGAAAACATTGAATCGCTATAGAAATCGCGATTCATTCTATTCTTAGCGTTTTAAATCGATTACTGTCCAAAATCGACGATTAACATTCAAAATCCATGTTTCAAGATGCATATACATCGTCAGGGTTTGTAATCGATGCATCGATAAAACGAGTGAATCGTTACACCCCTAATAAATAAGTCAAACACTGAAAAGTCCATTCAGAGACACTCAGATGGTATGGAAAGTTAATTTGAGAGAAGGACATTAATATAAGCTGAGAATGCAACAATCAGTGGAAGGTTTTCATTTTATGAATGGTTTTACTTAACCAGGTGAGATCTTATGCTGTATGTCAGTAATTATTTTAAAAATAAAAAGTTTGATTTATTCATAATAGATTAATCTCAAGAAACATGTCTAGCATGTGAAACTGGGGGAAATCGGTCATATTTATGGTGTTTTAATGTTTTATTTGCTGTATTTCAGCAGTGAAAATCAAAAAGACGTCAATCACATTGCTTTTATCTGCTAAACTTGCAGTATGTGAGATATTTTGGGTAAAAAATGTACGAAATTCCCATGTATAGTGAGTACATAAAAAAACGGTTCAAAACTCTGCCCTTGGTAAGCTTGTAATGGTAAGCCTACACTAATGACTTATGGTGAGAAATTTTGTGTTTGTAATAATGTGTTGTGTTATCTGTCATGTTAAATGTATGCATGTATTTGTTTATATTAATAATTAATTTTCAAAAATCAAAGGACAAAGAGACAGTGTTTAGCTTTGCAATGTTGTATTGTAAGTTTTTATTCAAATGCAAGACTAAAATTTTATACAACCTTTACAAGCATGCCTGAGATTAAATGTTATTTGTGAAGAAAAAGGGTAAATAGTAAAAAAAGAAAAAAAGGCATAACATTTTGGTTTGGTTTTGTGAAAATATTATTTAATATTATTTATACCAAAAAATGTAATAGATCATGACCTGTTGTAGCATTGCTTTTTTAGTAGTCAAAACTTGCTTTGTTTGCTTTCACTTGCTTTTGAATGCAATGTTTTTTCCCCCCATTTTAACAATTGTCTTTATCTACCTTACTCCCTTCTTAGCTATGACATGGTCCATTATGGTCATTCCAACCAACTTCGACAAGCCAAGGCTATGGGGGACTATCTCATTGTGGGAGTGCATACTGATGGTGAGGATACACACATACACGGTGCCAGTCAGTGTTGCTTGTTGATTATATTGATCTTAGCACTGACAAATTAATAAATTAGAGTAGTTGTTATGGTCTCTGGTAGATTAAACTCACGGAGAGCAGGGAATCCAAAAGAACAGTCTTTAATATAAATCCACTCGGAAACAGACAAGAAAAATTCAGGATAATCCATGCAAACATGTAACAGACAATAACTGGCAACTGAAATGGGGAGAACTCAGGACTTAAGAACCCAGGGACTAATGGGATAATTAACGACACACCAGGTGGGAACAATGAACTCAACAAGACAGGTAAAAATTAGGGCTGTGTTCGAAATGCCATACTATCATACTACTCTTACTATTTCTGCAGTATCCAGTATGTATGCTGTGCATAGTATGCAAATTTTCATCTTCAAACGCGTGAGTGAACTGGAGGTGGGGAATAGTAATTATAAATGTAACATTTGTATTTGTACGTATATACATATACATGTAAACTACAAACTATCGCTGTGTATCTAAAAACAGTATCGTTAGTAGGACATAAATTGTACTTTAATCTCTACAACACGTTTCCGATCATCAAATGACGTCACCTTTATCTTTATAGCGCTTTATACAGTACAGATTTTTTCAAAGATATTGAATGATAATTATATTGCAGCAATATAACATATAAATAAAATATATAAATAAAAATATTTAAATTATGCAAACAGAATTCAGTTCCACTTTCAATGTAAACAGAATTGATCATTTTTTGCACTTAGTGTAACTAGAATATATCGCTTTTTAATATATCGCCACTTAGTGTAACTACCAAAAATATCAATAAAAACAGCTCAGTGTTGATTTAGTTCTGTCCAATATGTAAAGTTAATCAATTATGAAATGAGTTCAATTGGGCAATATAGCATTGTTTACTAGTATGAAGCCTTATTAACAAGCCTTTGTAAAAAGAACAGTTAGCTCATTTGTTTCTAAGGTAACAACCTTGACAGCTGTGCTGAATTAATGTTCAGTGTTTGTCATGTGACAGCACTTAAGCATACTACTCTGAAACATTTATTGCTTATTGTATACTGTTTCACACACTATTCTTTAAAAAAATAGTAGGCAGTATGCACTGTGTACTGGGCAGTAAGCAGTAAGCAAGTATGCCATTTCGAACACAGCCTAGGTCACAACAGGAGGAGGAGGGCGTGGAGCAGGAGAGAGGAAAAACCAAACACAGTACAAAAAATAAGTCCATGGGGGAGTGGAAGGTGGGAGGAGGCAAGGGGAAGCCAGGAGCAGGAGGAGCCAGGTGTTGAGCCAGAGGCCAGCCAGGATGAGGCCCCAGGGCGGAGTTGATGGTGGGAGGAGCCATGGAGTAGCTGAGGACTTGGAGGTAGAATACACCCTGGGGACGACCAACAGCGATACAGCCACCAATGATGGAGACCCTGATGGAGACGATGTGCCGATGTGCCCACGCGCAGCCGGTGGTCCTGGAGACCGAGGAGGAGCCGCGGCGACAAGCGTCCAAGGAGGAACCGGAAATTCTGAGGGCAGAGGCTGAGCCGATGGGACCAAGGACGAAGGCGGAGCCAGGGGGAAGGAGGAGCCAGCCGAAGCCGCAGGTGCAGGCATGCCAAAGACTGACCAAGGCAGAGCCGGAGGGAGGAGGGAGCCCATAGAAGCCGTATGGCCGATGGTATCCAGTGGAGCCGAGGGAGGGTGGAGCCAAGGTGGAGCCGAAGTGTCGACAGGCCGAGGTGGAGCAGCAGGCGCAGAGGCTGGAGGCGGAGACAGGGGATCCACAGGGCTGGATGAAGCAACTGGCCCTCAGACAATTAGCAGAACATCATTACTAATATGGGCTGCTGAGGGGCTGAAGGACAGCAGCTGAAATGGGGCTGAGGAACTGGCTGACTGAGGAGGTGGGAGAGGGAGGCTGGGTGGGGATTCTG